GGTAGCATATATATGTATATATATATATATCTACATACATACATACATACATACATACATACATACATACATGTACATATTCTTGTAAATACAACTACAAATACTTACACATACACATGCACTTACCCGCATGTACATACATACATAACTAGCTGCCTACCTACATACATACATACATACACTACATTCGTTACATTGTGTTACATTACATTACATTACATTACATTACATTACATTACATTACAGTACATTACATTACATTACATTACATTACATTGCGTTGCATTGCATTGCATTGCATTACATTACATTACATTACATTACATTACATTACATTACATTACATTACATTACACACATACGTGCATGCATGCGGCTATACATACATGCATACTGTACATCCAACATACATACGTGCATACATGCAGAAGTACACATATACGTACATATACACATGATCACACATGCACATACGTACACATACATGCGTGCCGTATGGCTCGTGCTGTGGGTCGCCAGCGGTCTGGGATCCACTTCCGAGCAAGTTTTAAGCAACTGCGACGCATGGGCCTGTTGCCTATGCAACAACTATAGCAGACAACGTGCGAATGCAGACAAAGGCTGGCAGTTAAGAGAGAGCATGGACAAGCACAAGCTGGCCACCAGGTCCGTCGACTGAGGTTTTGGGCCCTCAGTCTTCTGCACAGAAACATTCTCAAAAGGGAAGCGAAGCAATCATCTATCACCCTGGCCTGATGGCGCACAGGAGCGCACTCGGAGCCCTCCAGACCGGGTGCTGCACAGGGTATCCACTTATCTTGGACAAGGATCCCAACAGCAGCACCACCTCGCTGCAAGTCTTCAGCGTCATCGCCTCGAGAATCTGCGGCAGGTGGCGAAACTCGCCAACTTGCTCCTGGCAATCGAAATCTTGGGAGAGATTGAAGATCCTGGAGTTTCCCGAGCCGCGTACATATCTAACCTGCAAGCCCTACGTAAAAAAACGCATCTCGGAAACCGACTCCTGGAGCTAAGGGCGCAATCACCTGCATCAACCTGCAGCCCGCCCCAGAACGCTAAACCCTAAGGGCCTGGGTCGGCACAAAAGCCTTGATGGTGATGCGCTATCAAGTCTTCCGGGATACCAGGAGGGTTGCCGAGAATAAGTTTAGGGTATTTTTCGCATGGCACGAGGCCCCCGCAGTAAGTGTCCTAAGTCTTTAGTTGAAGTTTTTGACCAGGGCACCTCGTTCTTGAACTCGGGTGACGAAGGTTTAATGTGGGAACCTCGATCCCAACGACGGTACGAGACTTAGGACTAACTGCCATGACAGCTCTATTAATCTTGCACTGCCGGCCTTTTGCTACTTCAGGAATTTCGAGCATTACATAGCATTACCATTCCCGGCAAAGTCTGCGACGCACCCTCCAACTTGAATGCTGGGCCTGCATCGCCTGACTTGAGTCCCGATTTACGGTTCCCTGGCAAATTGAAGAGTCTTGATCCTGATTCGGTCTTGCTGCGGTGAAATGGCCAGCTGTAACATGTAGCACAGTAAGCTGTACACATACACCACGTCAGAAGGACTCATGATTTTCTATACTTGGGACACAATGAGCCTCTTTATCTATATATATATATGTATATATATATATATATCACAGGTGATCCATGCGCAGCTTGTCATCAGGCTGTGCAAAGAGATCACACTTCCATTCAGGAGTCCATATTGGCAAGCATAGATGCACTCCGTGCCGAGGGGATGGTCGGCATCCACAAAGCCCGAGAAAGTGAGTTTATACCGCACGCACCTCCAACTGCAAAGCCAGTCTACATATGTGTACTCCAATCAACCCGACTATGTTTCGAAAACGGGATTGTGCAGTTGCTTTTTGAAGTGTCTCGACAGCTGGGGGACCAAAGCTCCTGACGCGTCCGAAACTGCAACGGAGTCGCCAGGCCGACATGCCACTGAGCTATGTGGGCATGGTTGCGCTCTCCGCGATAGGGCCGATAGGGCCCGTTTCGGGCTCGGGACAGGGATGCAACGAGGCTGCTTATCAGTTCGCGGCCAAGGCGCACATGGGCTCAGTACCAGAGCATACCTTCGGGGCAGAGCCGGATATCTGAAGCATTATTATTGGCGATCTCAGGGTGTCCGTGGGGAAAGACTGCGGTAAAACACCCGCTAACCCACCAACATCAAGTGCCCGTGACAAACACATAGTTTCGATACCACAGCTGGGTTCAGACCTGTCCGAAACAGCAAGAAGGACGATAGAAGCGAAGAAAACAATAACGCATGTTGAAGAACGTCGGCATCACCATGATCTTCGCTCTTGCCATTTTCATCATTGAATCATCATCATCATCACCACTGTCTCCTTCTCGCAGGCTCGGGATCGCCAGCTGCAGCTGCATCATGGTCGTCATTATCATCATCATCATCGCCATCATCGTGCCAGGCAGTGGGCGATCCCTGCTGACCTGGCAAACGGCTCCGAAGCTTCGGCCCTAAACCGCAAATCCTTTCCAGCCTTGAACACCAGAAAGCTCTCTTGCAGGGGCCTTGCTGTTGTCATGGCCTTAAGGAATTATGATTTATGGGATGTTTTTATTCGGCAACCCTGGCAGTCACATCCCAAGCCGCACTTGGCAATCTCAAGCGGGTGTGCTGATTATCTGTTGCCGGAGCGCCCATGCCAGTCTGTTGTTTGGCTGGCCAACGAAAAAACCTTAAAACCCTATAAGCCCTAAGCCCCATACACAGATAGATCTGCACCAAGCAGCATCGGCGCGGTGACGTTGGCACGGGCTCCAGCGGCCGACGTCAGCAAAAACAAGGCCTGGAGCGTGCAGGTCGCTCCAAGGGTTATACACGAAGTTTCAAAGGCTGTTGTATATAAGCGGTTTGAATAACCTGGACATTTGAGTCGTAAAAAAGGATGCTGCTATTTAAGTTGAGTAGTAGAGGGCTGTTAGGGTCTCCATGTACAAATGCCCCAAGCAGAAGGCTGTATCTGTTAGGAAATTCTTCCATGATCAGATTGAAGGCAAAGCTCGCCCTAACTTGCACCGAGCTCCAAAGTCCCGGTGCCATAAAGCACCATCAACATGGGGCAGGGCCGACTATTGCGAATTGTCATAAGCATGTCCACAGCGTTCTGTGCTCACACTTGGCCTCTGCAGGCGACGCATGTGTTTACTGGACTTGGTGTTAAACTAAAGACTTTAGCCAGGCCACGAAGGCTAAAGTCTACGTGCCATATCTTAGGCAAGCCGATGCAGGTTTGGTTTTAGAGGTACTCCGTTCGGGAAAATGCCTCCGTGTTCAGTCTTGCAGGTCAGCATTTTCAAACCCCGATGTGGGAGAGGCATCCCATATGTACTGGTGCAGCGCCGCCATCTGCAGCGCTTGCTCCGGCGCATGGGATCTTGCCATTGCCGTTGCCCTTGCCCTTTTGATACGGGCTGCATACAGACAAAACTCGGGACGTGTAAACGTGAAAAGAGATACAGTTAAATGTGCAAGAGAGACAGTTGCATGGGCGCATGTCTGACATGCCAGAAACTAACCCTGTGCGTCAAAGACGCGACGGAGATCGGGAGGTGACAAAACACACGCCGTAGAGAATGTCACAAACGGGTGAAACAAAGAAGCTTGGCTTCGATGTTAGAAAGTTGGCCAAAAATACAGCAGAAGTATTTCGGATGTTTTCAGACAGTTCAGGCTGCGCCTGGCGACTGGCATCCGATTCAAACTCATTCAAAAAGCAGTTTCTCGTGCGCCGCCAGCATCGTGTCAAGGAAGTCTGCAGGGCAACCTACCACACGGTTGTTGAGTTTGAGACCGTCATCGACCAGGAGGCCCTTTCACCCCGACACGAAAAGGGAGCTTCAGAAACAAAACTGGAGGCTGTGACATTGACACTGAAGCATGGTATGACACGTGAAGCCGTCAAAAGCGAATGCTGGCACGAGAAAGTGCGGATCCCAGGCCGTCTGCCCGAGCGCCTCAGGCGAAGAATTCTTCTATGTGACCGAGGGCTAGAGACAGGCCCCCATCCCTCATGTTGAGCTCTGCCCTGCAATGCTTTGACGTGCAAGCGCTTAATGCATGATCCAGGATGTTGTCCAGCGTGCCGTTGAATTAAGAATCATGGAGACGGGAGCCTCGTCCGAATGCTAACTTGGCTCGATCCTAACATATCCTAACTCAGCTGTTTCGCTGCGAATTGAATTCGGCGGGGGGGGCACGTGTGCCCAAATCTGATCAACGGCTTCACACTTTGCACTACCTGCACAAGTACTGCTTGTTCCAAATCACCGACAAGCAGTAGCAGTGGCAGAATTGACACCGCCAAGCTCGAAAAAAGTCGACCAAACGGCTATTCCAGCCAATCAAGTTAGACTGTCCGGGACCTCAACCCCATTGGAGCAAAGCCCCAAAGCCTCAAACATCCTCCCACATGGGAAGCTTCGGCCATGGCGACCGCACCAGTGGAGGTGGGCCAGGCACAACAACATCCTGTTGGACGGTTCTGGAACCGAAGACGAAGGTTCGGGGAGATCGCTCCTGCGCCAACGAGGAGGAGGAGGTCCGTGGCTGAGACTGCTCCATCAAAGCTTTCGGTGCTGGGCCCAAAAAGTGCTTCTGGGGAGGACCGACAGGGTTCAGTGACTCGCCAGCCGAAAGCTTCGATCGTCGCTTGGCTTCTGCCAGGATGCCTCGGAAGACGGCGACCCTCACACAGTACTGTCGAACGATGCGGCCGAGCTGTGGACAGCTTGCCCTCCGCCTTTCGATCACCTCCATGAGGGCATCCCTGGTGAGGTACAACACCTCGATGTAGGTAAGGGCATAACCTGCGACTGGGCGGATAAGGCTGGTATCCGAGAGGACGAAATCTTCTCCCCAAACTGCCCCATTGTAGGCAACACGGCTGTCGAGAGCTACCAGGCCCTTGGACAGGATGTAGAGGACTTGGACGTTGTCGAAGGATTCCCGCTGTGCGAAGGCTGAAGCTTTCAATGCTTTCGCAATATCTGCGATGCAGGCCATGTAAGGAGCCACATGGACGCCTCTCATCTCCTGCAGCTCCAGGAAGTTCAGAAACTGAGAGAAGAAGGTCACCTTCTGGATCCACGTCCAGTTCAGCACTGTGGAGACCTCAGATTGCAGCTGCGGGCTCATATCCTGAAGAAGAGCCTGCCGCGTGAGGAATTGACTCTGGTGCCGGTTTTGCAGAAAGAAACTTCTCAACCGAGCTTTGAGTTCGCTTGGTAGCTCCTGCTCCTTCATCATACAGTTCAGGTGATACATCCTTTTGCGGAAGTCTTGGCTCTCGCTGGTCATGTCTGCTACGATACCACACACCTCACCAAGGATATACGCCCAGCACAGGCCAGCGCTCAGGACGATCCCGCAGCAGATCAAGCGCTCCAGGATGTTCTTCGGGCCAATGTCCCCGTAGCCCACGGAGGTCATCGTGTAGGAGCAGAAGTAGAACGCGGCAACGTAGATTCGGAAAGGCGATCTCGAGGACTCGATTCCAAACTCCAGATCGGATGCTTCGATGTCGTTAATCCATCGTGGGAACTCAGCATCGACAAGTTGCAACGTCATAGCCCATAAGCAGGCCAGCCAATGGCAGGCCATCATGAGCACGAGCATGAACCTGATCAATGCGAGATGTTGGTATGGTATGGCCACTGGAATTTCCAGCCGATGCATGAGCTTCGACGTTTTGAGCAACCTCGTCAACTTCAGAAGTCTTAGCACTCGGAGCACCTTGATACTTTTGAGTTCTGCAAAGTCACTGCCACCGCTTCCACCAATCGTGAAGCCGATCAAGTCAAAGGGAATCAAGGACGTCACGTCCAGGACGAACCAAGACTTCAAGTACTGCTGTGAGATTGCAGACACCCTCGTTTCCCAGATCGTCCCACGCACCGTTTTCTTCGAGTATGTCGTGCAAAACTGCATAAGCAGATCCACGAAAAAGATGCCGTCCACGCATAAACTTGCCATGGCAAGCGCATCAAATCTGAACTCCTCGATGAGGCCGACTTGTACCGGTGTTATCAGAGCCACGAATGTCAGCGCCAGGCACATGAGGCCCTGCCACCCCGTGAACCAGGAGCTGTTGTCTGGATTGATGATATACCACGGCTTTTCGATTTTAAACTGCTTTGTCTTCTGGGCCCGCAGGATCATGAAGTCAATCCGTGGGTTGGCAAGCTTTTTGCTCAAGCCGACCAGTTCGGTGAACCGGGACTGGGATCCAGTTAACTTCTCGGACGGTACTCGACGCACCACTTTCTCAAAGACGGGCACTGCTGGATCGGATGACTCCTCCGAGATGTAGTTCGGATGAAGCTCCGCCACCCTGTCACTTTCCTCTGCGCTTTTCGACGGACGACTCGCTGAAGTTGAGACTGTGTCATCTCCCGCGTCTGTCAAACTTGAACGACCCGCCAAAGCGGACATAGGCTCTTTCCTTGCCGCGATAGAGGGCGGCGCTGGTGGCTCCACAGTAGATGGAGGTGCTGGCTGCACAGGCCCTGTAGCACCGCCTGTACCCTGCAAGGCACACAGGTCCCGCAGCCAGTCATTCTCCCGCTTCATGTCTCGAAGCGTGTCCGACATTTGCTCCAGCTCTTCCGTGAGGGAAGCAAGAACCCGACGCCATGTCTCCGGCATTATTGAGACAGCGTGGGTTTTGAGCGCCAGTGGCTACAGTACACGCTCCTCAAGGGATCAGACCGGGGTTTAGGCCCGGGTTTCCTTCGATGGGACGGTTGGGGAGAGGCAGCCCGTCACTTATGGACATACTTCCATCATCTTCCATCAGTGAAGGGCTGGTATAGGTTCGTTTTCATCTCATGACTCAAGGGCATATTTCGACCATACATCATGTATATCCCGTAAACACTATACAGGCCTCAAGCCTTATGTAAGGAGTTTCCGGGCCCCGAAACCCGCGCCTGCAGCCATTCACGGGCTTGGGCGCAAGCCGCTATAGCAGAATGGCGCAAAAGAGCGTCTGGAGCCTGGCCACACTTTGGCTTTTGGCTTGCTGATCGAGAGCTCGTGGTTCGAGGCAAGACGCTCCTGCAGGACTTCCAAGCATCAGTAGCCGCGCATGTTTACATGGGGCTGCTATGACCACACCACGTGCAGATGTCACTCCCGCACCTGGATTTTACAGCCGTGCGACTAAACGTGTGACTGGTTCACCCGAACTTATTTGGCAACAGTGTCACCTGCGATCTCGAACAGGGCGCCCGACGCCCGAACCCACTTAATTGGACATTGAAGTTCTGTCCTACAAACAATAACTCCGGACAACTGCCGCACTGCTACTAAGCTGCTACTACAGCAAAACGAGTATGCCAAGTACAACAACCGCGGCGACCCCGACATTCCAGTCAGAGCCTTACTCGAGTTGTTTGCATCAGCCCTGAGTTGTGTGTGTGTGTGTGTCTGTGTTTGTTCA